TGAAGTTTCTACTTAAAATTGGCAACATTCTCTAGTAACTTTCTTTCCAAGTCCATATTCACCTTTGGTAAGAGAATGCACTGCTCATTCAGTATAAATAGAGCGTTAGCAAGTTTCCTCAAGAGAAACATCTCTGAACGAAACACACATTTCAAACAGAAAGGCATACCTAGTGAACCAAACATGAAAGGTAAGACATTTTGGCCAGACCAAATTATATCACTTGGTAGGAGTGGTTACTTCAAGGTTCCCCTGAAGCATCCAGCCTTTCGGGTAAACAAGTTTACTAGCTTCTATATGGAGGTGCCAGTTCATTATCTGATGACAACCTAGAGGAATCCCTTCCATTTGACTCTCGTCTTCAACAATCTGTTCGATGAAAGTAGTTTCCTGAAAAAGAGATAGTGTCCAGATAAGATTTTCAAGCTGTGGTTTCAGGTCAAATATGCACGTAGGTACACAGAAATTAGAAATGGGATCGCAGGATTGCGTACTTGGAAACCCTCCTTCACTGTATCTAACTGCCGGATTGGACTCAACTTTGAACGGTGCCATCTCCTGGGATCCCAAAGTATAGTGCTATTGAAAGCAAAGCCAGACATGTCAACATGAAACCTTCGGAGCCTTTTGCTCTTTTCATTTGTATGCCATCCTATCACTTGACTTCCATTGCATACGGGGCCTTCCAATATCGCTTTATTCTTGCTTTGTGCTAGCATTCCTACTGGCCAAGTGCCAAAACGACTGAAAAGGACAAGGACATGACTATTTAAGTAAAAATACAGACTCATACCATGAAAAGTAACAACATGAATACAGAGTAAATTTTTAGCTTTTGGCCTAAAGTGAAGCTAGAGATCTAAATTCCTAACTCAAAACTGTTACTGGAGGTGTCAACTTTGAGCATTTAACTTGAAAACAACAATAAGTTAATAAGATGATTTATCGTTAGTAGGTCCCATTGTAACTCATAACCACATTGTGTGTTTGCACGTGTGTCTGTGAGTGGTAGATAAAGGTGAGACCTGAGTGTAGTTAAGCTGAAATTAATAAATAGCAAAAGAATTCTTCAACTTGCACGGGAGAAGAAAAATTAGTTACTCCAAATAACTCGAAATGAAACAAATAAGAAACAAGGGTCGGAATGAAACAAATTAAACACAGTTAGAAACAAGCCTCACGCAAAATTACTAATTTCCATGTACACTTTTCCAGTAAAGCAAGGATCTCTAGAAGTAGGAAAATACAGGATGATACTACTGTACAAAATAAAGGAGCTCCAACACACACACACACACAAAAAAAAAAATGGAGGGACAGCTATGGAGTACAGAGAAATATATACTAGAAGAAGCCAGCATGTTTATATATGGTACAGGTAGAGATAATAAAACAACTCGAAATAAACAAACCAGTACTGTGAAATGTAAATTATAAGTTTTTCAAAAAGCAAAGGTTTATTCCTAGCTTCTTGCAAAAGAATTGTATTTTTCATCCTCTATAAATAAATCACTTTTTTCAGTTTCCAGAGCAGCTATCCCGCCTCAATGTTCATGTTCATATCTATCGAGCATCCTCAACCTCTTGGGACAATCAAAGTTATCTACATAATATGGGTTCCTCAATATTTGCGCATCTCTACAAGTCTTTCTGAAGAACAGACACGATAAAGTGTTAGACTTGAGAAACCAACCCAGAAAAATGCAAAATTTATTTTCATACTTACTCCAGCACATTACTATATCAAGGAGAAAATGTGATCAAAAGGTTCATAAAAGCATGGAAGCAGAGGAAAATTTGGAACATCCAACATCTTTTGGTTGACAATAAAGAAAAGACAATCGAAGAGGTAAGAAGGATGGGTAAACTGAAAATCATATCTGCTTTTAGCAACATCAGAAGTCACATGGCAGCACTAGAGGAGGAGTTGTCAAGAACTCAAGTCTATGCGAGAAAGTAGTCCAATAGATTTTACCAAGAAAGCCACAAGAATTGTAAAGCATAGAGCGAGCGTTCAGTTTCATTTAAATAAGTTTTCCAGTTTTAGGAACTCTAACTTTGCTGCGAAAGGAAGGAGTGATATTGATAGATGAAGGACAGACTGAAAGCCTGAAGCCAACAAAAGTAGACTGATGGAAGTACATAAATTTAACTTCACCACACAACTTCTGGTATACTAAAAAACTTAAGAAACTGAAAATTGACAATATGGAACAGCAGAGAAAGACAAGTCATATAATTAATACGACATCTGTTGAATCCAGGAGAAGAAAATCACTGAGACCTGCCCCATAAATAGACACATCAAATTTACACATTGAACTTGTACAGAAACAAAGAGTAGCAACATTCCATCGTGCCCACAACATGGAAGTGGACAATGATAAATCAAGAAAATGATAGGACTTACATGCCTAAGTATCTAACATCAGTCCTTGAAGGAAAAAGTATCCAGCAGCTACCAGTTTTACTTAACCTTCTCTATGCAAGTAAAGTGCCCAACAATGTGTAGATTCATTTTTCTACATTCTAATTGCTTACAAGATGAAATGAAATTTAAATAAAAGGTAGGTACAATTAGCTAGGAAGAACAACTTATGCTAACCTGATTTCCCTTATCCTCTCAAGTAGCTCGAGCGAGTAGATATTATCATCATCGGCAAAATAGACAATCCCATCAAGCCTATGCCGCTCAATATGCTCGATTGCAGTATTTCGCTGGTGGACTCCCCGGTCCTTCACATCTGTAGAATTCTTCTTACAAACCAAATGTCTGTACATAACTCCCATATTCCTCAAGATCTCTGCAGTCTCTATGGACGCAGCATTCATCTCCACTACAATCCACAACACTGGCGGTCTCACCAATCTCAAAACCTGCCCTAACCTATTCAAATAGTAAGCCTGCGTAGCTCTGCTATACGTTGGTGTCACAAGAATCAGTTGTTTAAAAGGCACGAAATCCAAATTCCTCTTGACTTCATTTCTTATAGAGCTCTCAACAGCATCCACAACCACATCATTCCCCTTCGTCCCCTCCACAAAACCCAAACCACCGCCCACGTTCTCCTCAACCCTCACCACCGTGGGCTTTAACTCGTACGAGAACTCGTCGCTTTGCTTGAGCTCACTAAGATCATTACTAAACGGCGCCATGCCCAACAGAAACCCTAGAAAAAAGAAGAGAAAGCAGCGGAGAAGTGGCTTTCTCCACGAGATCTGATAACCTTTCCGAGAACAGTTCTTCTGGAGGAAAACACCGGCGATAATCCTACGCACCGGAGAGAAGGTTGTTCTGCCGTGGAAAAGCAGCTTTTGAGACGGCGATTGAACTGAAAACGGACTGCTACACTGATTCTGGTACGATCGGTCGTTGTAGGGCGACAGCGTTCTCCGAATCGAAGCCATTAAAAAATCCGAAAACGATTGGAAGCACAGTGATGGCGATCGTGTGGGGATTCAAAAATCCAGCGGTTGACGGCGAAAACTGCGCCTGCGCTTGAAATGCAGAAGCCTGTAGAAGATGAAAGAGAGGTGTTAACGGAAAATGGAGGTTTTACGGAGCGAAAGGACATGGAAAATGGCTGGAGATTGATGGAGACATTCTGCGCGTGGGAAAGGTAATGGTGGATCGAGCTGTATTTGTGAAGGTGCTACTCATCAGAATTTTCGTATAGCTAGGTTGTTATTTTGGTTTTTTTCAGGGATAATTGCAAATAACACCCTCAACTTCTATATAATTGCAGAAAAAATGTTTTTTTTTTCTTTTTGTAAATTATTAAACACAACCCCTTTTATTACTTATCGCCCTTTCTTGGACTATTTTGCTCCTGACATTCTTTTGTTTAAAAAAAAAAAAAACTGCGAGCGACGACAATATCGGCTGCCCCGCGGTCGGTCGGTTAGCTGGCGATTGTTAGAATTTAGAAATTATTATGTTATAAATTATAATTGATTATTTTATAGAATTAATTATTATTATTATTATGTTAGAACTTAGAATTATGTTATAAATTAGAATTATAATCTTGTAGAATTTATTATGTTAAAACTTAGAAATTATTGTTTTATTATTAATAGCAAAATCATTACATCTTAATAAAAAACTATATTAAATTAAAAAAAATAAAAAGATAAGTTTTTTATTTTGAATATCAAACTATTAAAAATTTGTGTTATTATTATTTATACTTAGAACTACACTCGTGCATCACTTATCTTTTCTATATTTTTAATAATTTTGTAACTCATATTATCTGATGCATTTTTATAGATATACTTATTTAGTTGGTACAATTTTATTGTTTTTTTTTTTTAATTAAAAAATGTTAGATAGTTTAATTATTATGATATATATACACACACATGCAACATGAATATCAAATAGAGACTTGTCGATAATCAATTTGATATATTATATATGAAACCTAACAACAAATACGAAAGTTAGTAATTTTTAAAATATATTTATATATTAGTTCAAGTGTTTTATTATTTTAAAAATCAGAATAAAAATATAAAGTTATTGATTTATAAATTATATTTTTAAGTTTACTTATTCAGAGTATTTTGTAATTTTATTAGTTTTAATAAGTATGGATATGGGTTAAAATCTAGGGAAAGTTTCTTTTACACTCTGGCCTGAAGATTACATTAAGTTTTTCACCCCGCTAATTAACAAATTTAACTTTTTCACACCAGAAGATACGAATTATTCGAACGGTTTGCATATCAGTCACATATTCACATTAAAAAGTGCGAAGGGTTATGCTAATTTGCTTTGCATTTTTAACTTTCGTATAATGTCAATCACACAATTGTCGCATAATTACCGTGGAATGCTTTTGCACTTTCTTGAGTGAAAAAGTTAATTTTTTATCCAACCAGTGTGAAAAACTTAATCATTTTTTTCAGAATGGGGTGTAAATAACTCTTTCGTCCAAAATCTATATCAACTACTCCAAATTCCACATAGTATTTATTTGTACACACATCTGTCTTAATCTCAAACTCTCGATTCTTAATTGGGAACCTCATTAATTGAGTAACTCTTGGTTCTCTTCACCACACTAATTACAATCTCTTAATTTGTAAATTCTCTCATGGGACCTCAATTATGGGAACCTCATTAATTGAGTAACTCTTGGTTCTCTTCACCACACTAATTACAATCTCTTAATTTGTAAATTCTTTCATGGGACCTCACTAATTGAGTAACTCTCTATTCCATTGGCCACACCCTAATGGCAATGGTACTAATTCTAATTATGGAAAATGCTACAGTACCATTTTGTGGGGATTGTAACAGTTAAATCGTCATAACGTAATCGTCGTGAATAGTTGATCTAACAGTTACAAACCCCGACGAAATGGTTCCGTGAACTGTTGAATCTCCTTCTAATTATAGGTGCTAAAAGTTGGTTAAGTTGCCCACATGAAGTTTTCTACCAACCAACCAACCAAATAATATACTAAAACAACTACTTATGAAGACTTTAGATGAATTACTATGGATGCTGAGTTGACTATTTTAGAACCCACCATTAATTAATAATTATTTTTGCAAGCAAAGTAGCAAACTTGTTGTTCTCCATTTGGGCCCTTTTTTGACATTTAGTACATTAAAAAGTTGAACACTATCAAAATGAAAAGGCTCAACGCAACAAACACATGAGTTTACAATAAATCAAGAGACCAGTTTATGAAAAAGGGCCTAAAACGCACACACAATTATGTATACAGCATGCACAAAATACAAATGCACCTTAAATATGTCATCAAGTTAACAAGTTACATAACAGAGAAACTAAGAAAAACAATCACTCACGTTTTACAGATCAATCGTTTTGCATGCCGGATTATATTATCCATGAGAGTTGGATTACAGTAGAGTTGGATTGTGAGCCTTGGTGACATCAAGAATGGTTTTGAACTCACTGTGGAAGGACACTATTGACCTCTGCCGGCATGCGAAAGCATAGCTAAACTGTTTGATCTCTTCTTCAAGTTTTTTCTTCCTCTGCAACTCAATATTCAGATCCTTCAAAGCTTTATCCTTCTGGCTAGTAATTTGTTCGAGCATTACAGACGAATTAGAGATCTTATCGAGCACCGCATCTCGATCTTCTTGTAGAAGACGGAATTCAGTCTCCAAGCTACGGTATTTTCCTTCAGAAACTTTAAGAAGCTGATTAGTAAATTCCAACTCTTTCTCCAAGTCAGAACACCTCTGACTTATCGTGTTCATGTCATTTTCCAATGCCTGTTTCCAACAAGCAATCCGTCCTCCCAAAGTGCCCTTCGCATGGAAAAAAGATGAATGAGTAAGATAAAAAGAGATCTAAATTAGCAAAAAGATATGAGACTAACATAGACACTTCAAGAAAGGCTAAGTTGCTCCGTCTCTTATATTACTAAGGTTGTCCCTAATATCAACCGGTAAGGTCATTTTTACGTTTTCTTTTTTTGTTTTTTTGTTTTTTTGTTTTTTTGTTTTTTTTGTTTTTTTTTTT